TTGACATGTATGTACAACTAACCTTTAGATATATTTTGGGAGTTGTCTACAAAGTGGAATAATTTCTGTAACAGGGATCAGGACAGTAAATCTGAAAATGCAAATAAAAAATGACAGGTTCGGTGTTTATCGACCAAAGTTATAAAGATTTAATTGTGTAGTTTTTGCAACATGAAAGTTATTACAAGTATATTGATTAGGATGAACAGAAATACTGGTTTTTGATAGCTTATTACGTAATGCACCAGATTATTACACCACCACATTTTGTAATAATTGCAGCAAAATGTAATAACATTATTACATTTACGTTATATACATGCAAGTATTACAAAATGCACTGAAGACTTTTATTAAATTTTGCGGCATTTAGTACATAATGCGGCTTTAGCACGAGTTTTTTACATTCTGAAGTCTGATTTTGTTACATTATTACGTAATGTCTTGTTATTACAAAATGAGGTCTTACAGGGTGTCTAGGCTCTTTGTTAGAGATAGGGTGAGAATTTTGGTCATCCTAGAGCCGCTGCTCCTCCACGTCGATAGAAGCCAGTTGAGGTGGCATCTGGTTAGGATGCCTCCTGAACGCCTCCCTGGTGAGGTGTTCTGGGCATGTCCCACTGGGAGGAGACCCAGAGGAAGACCTAGGACACACTGGACTGACTATGTTTCTCAGCTGTTCTGGGAATGCCTTGGGATTCCCCCGGACGAGCTGGCCCAAGTGGCTGGGGAGAGGGAAGTCTGGGTCTTTCTGCTTATGGTACGTTCACACCGAACACATTTTGAGCTGCAGGAGCAGCCAGTTTACATGGTGGACGTGCCTCTAGGGGTCTTGCGGCGTATCAGGTCCATTTAGCACGGCGCACAAGAATGCAGAATTTGCGGCAGAGCATTTTCCGTGCATACGGTGCGGCGAAAGCAGCCAACGCTTAAGTTAAAAAATCTAGTCTTTCACCGCACGACGCGTCTTCACAACCGATTAGAGAGAATAATTTTTCCACGTGACAGTTTCCTGAATGTTGCCCACTAAACCGAAACAGATGGACAGGAGCTCTTTAGCTGAAATCAACCGTATGTAGTTGATGTTCTGGCTGGAGATATCAGCACCGATTTGGGTCAGCAGCTCGTTAAACTGACTGTGGTGTTAAACTGGGCTCAGGACAAAAAAATCGTCCATCAGCTCGCAGCTCCTGGAGTCAGTGATAAACACAGACTAAGAATTTGCAGTTTAGAACATCCATTTGAAGAGAGACACACATAGCAAACATGGGAGAATGAATGTCCATGATCTTTCACATTAAGTTGCGCCACCTATTGCAGCTTAAAATACACACACACTAGGAAAGGTGAGTTTAAAAAAGAGCTTTGATCCTATGTTATTCACAGAAACACACAATCATGCCCTCAAAAAACCACTCTGCATAGTGCAAGGCATCGAAGGGGGCAGAGGGCAACACATGGTATGGGGTGGGGTTCAGTGGAGCCGGTGACATTCCCGGTTAGTACTCCATGTTGGAACCAATCAAAGACCTCCAGAGTCTGAACAAGTTATCAACAAAAGCACAAATGACCAGAATCATTTCTCTATCTCCACCCATCGCGGCCTTCAGACTGATCCACTCACAGGTCAAATGGGTAAGGGTGGGGGGGAGTCAAGACTTTTTCCTCACGTGTCATCCAGGGAGGTTTGATAGCTTGCGATCCAAGGTAATCAGCTGCAGGGATCCAATGATAAACAGAATTAAAAAATAAAAAAAATTGTATAGGTCTTCTGGATGGGTTCTTCTCTAATGAAACGTTTCGTCTCTCCTCCAAGAGACTTCTTCAGTCTGAGAGTTTCAAGCAAAATTCAGGCTTTTAAGTAATGCCTCCATGTGAGTATCAGTCACATCAGTCTTAATCAATCTCACTTAAAGACCGGAAACTTAGAGACTGGAACCAATGACTCGAAGACTGGAACTGACGAGTCTGGATCTTATGAAGACTCTGGAGGCTCTGAAGAAATAATCTCTGGGGACTCTGTATACTCAAAGACCGAAGATTCTGTGGATTTGAAGACCGAAGACTCTGTGGACTCGAGGACTGAAGACTCTATAGACTCGAGGACTGAAGACTTTATAGACTCGATCTCTGTAGACTCTTTTGACTCCAGTGCAGAAGGGACTGAGACTGGAACAAGCGAGTCTAGACCCTCTGAAGACTTGGAACCCCGAAGACTGGAACCCTGAAGACTGAAAACCTGAAGACTGGAACTCAGAAGGTGGCGGTGAGTAGTCGTAGAACTCCAGTCAGAAGGGATCACTTTCAGGATCATAGTCTGGATCTTACTCCAGTTCAGACCCTGAGTAGTCAGACTCTGGATACTCAGACTGTAACTCTGGATACTCAGACTGTAACTCTGGATACTCAGACTGGAACTCTGGATACTCAGACTGGAACTCTGGGGACGGAAATGATGCGGGACCAGATGAAGGCGATGATGGTGATGATGAAGATGATGCAGGACCAGATGAAGGCGATGATGGTGATGATGAAGATGATGCAGGACCAGATGAAGGCGATGATGGTGATGATGAAGATGATGCAGGACAAGACGAAGGCGATGATGGTGATGATGAAGATGGCTCAAAACCGAACGCTGTAGCAACCAAGATGGGTCTTTCTGAAACTACAGCTTCCTCCCCTCTAGGGGTGCTGAAACACCCCGATGAGCCGATGAAGCAGGGAGGTGGGACAGTCGAAACCTGCCCCGAGGCTGCAGCCACTTTCCTCCTCCGATGATGGAGAGATGAGGCTGAGGGGGCAGAGGATGTGGTCTCCTCTCCAGGAGCGCAGGAAACAGATTACTTGACAGATCATGAACCCACCGGCTCGACGGGGCTGGAACCCCTCAACTCGACCGGAGACAACGTGGAGGTCACAGGGACTGCAGCAGATGTAACGAGACCTGGTGCCGTGGCAGACATGATGAGACCTGATGCCATGACAGACATGGAGGTGTTGGGGGTGGTGAAGTGGTGAAGCTGGAACTCACCAACTCGGAAAAAATCTGCACTAACATAAACGAGGAGACGCAGATGGCCGGGCAGCTGTAGCAAATCGGGGCATTTTAGCAGGATGTTCATGATCTGCTGAAGGAGCTGGAGGCAGACGGCAGGAGAGAGGGACCACCCCAACATCAGCAAAGCTCCGCTGACCAGTGGGTGAGTTACCTCAAGTTCCTCCGGCGTCAAGGTTGGGATCGGCTCCTCCAAGATTGGAGCGGTGGAGGTGGCGATGACCCTGCCTGCTGGGTCCTTTGTGTTTCTGTTCATTCTGATATAGTTTAGAAGGCGAGGTGGACCCAAAAGGCAGGCTGGCAAGACTAAAATAAACTTTATTAAAGAAAAGAGCTGACGTGGCAGCAAAAACAAAACCAAACTATAAAATGAAAAAGGTGAGCTAACATGAGACATGAGACGAGAACTGAACCAGGAACAACCAATGAACGGACGTTGGAGTGGTGGAGAGAGGCAGGTTAAATACAGAGCTGGTCTGAGTGGAAGTGGTTACAGCTGAGATGATTACAAGCAGGGACAGGTGTGAGAAGAATGACCTAGAAGGAACCAGAAAGACTGAGGAGCATGAAGGGACACAAGACAGACACCAGAGTGACGCACAGCACAAAACATAAAATAGGTACACACAAAACACAGATCCTAACATAATTTCCCTCTGAACAATGAAGTATTTTTTAATTGAATTGAATTGAACTGAATCTAAAACTCGCCCTGCTGCATATGCCCCATCAGGACAAGAAGGCTCTCCTTTTCCCAGTTTCCATGTAGAAAAAAAAACTGACCAGATCCATAATTTCCAGTTTTAATGATATGTAAAAAGAGGCTCTAAAATGCAGCAAAGCAGGATAGATATGGGAAGGCTGAAGATAGAGGGGAAAAGTGTCCGCCTTTGCTCCATCCTGGACCCCTGACCCCTCTTTTTGGGTAGCTGTGCTATGACAACTTGCTTACATTGCAACATCACTCAGTTACTCTATTTGGAAACCCACTGAGACTGTGTGTGTCTCAGATGCTCCCTTCTGCAGGGATCACCACGCACAAACAATTTGGCAACTTCCTGATGTAACCTAGGTTTGAACCCACAGCCTGAGGATTACACCGAGATAGGCCAACATTTTCATAAACTAGAGTTCAGAACACAGTTGCACTGCTTACTGGTCGCTTGGTTACACAAAATAAGAATTCAGTGAGATTGCAAAGATATTTGTATGATTTCTTATTTCTTGAGATATTACTGTACAGTGCTGCCAGAGTTGTGCCATCTGCAGCAATTCTCAGATGATGTGGCCATAGTTGGGTGTGTGGAGAATAATGGCGGAGTGGAGACACCTGTTTAATGATTATTTTTAATGTGATTAAAACAAACAAGTTGGTGGTAAACTTCAGCAGGAATATGTCTCCAGTCCCTTCTGTGAGCATCTTTGAGACTGACATTACAACGATCACCTTTAGTAGATACCTCGGTCTACAGCTACACAACAAACTGGACTGGTCCACCATCACTGAGGCATTCTAGAAGAAACACCTGAGCCTACTTTATATTCTGCCAAGGTTCAGGTCCTTCAAAATCTGCAATAGAATGCCCCAGATTGTTTAATAAAACTGTTGTTGCTAGCACAGCCTTTGCTGTTCTGTGCCGAGGATCTGACAACAAAGCAAAGAACACCAACAGACTAAAAAAAAAAACACTGATTAAAAAAGACAAATCTGTTGTCTGCTCGAAGATCAACACCGTGAAAGAGGTGGTGAGGGACAGAATGCTGGCAATCATCAACAATAACTTCCACTTCCTTCAAAGTACCACGGATAATTTTAAGAGCTGCCTCAACAACACTCGTTCGCCCCAGATGCACTAAGGAACAGTACAGGAAATCACTGTTCCTTTCTGTCCTCACCCTCCACATTTTATCCCCTTTAATAGATCTGAGGTCACCGTGCAGAACAAAACTAGCTACACTTCATCGTGAACATTTATACAGTCCAGATACATTTGCATATTCATGAGCATATTTTGCACAGCTTTATTTTGCATATCCTGTTTTTGCACATTTTGCTCTTACCACACACATTTTTATTATGATGTACAGATAAATACATCTTGCATTAAGTTATACTGACAGCTACTCATATGGATATTATTATTACTACTATATGACTGCTCCTGTTTTGAATTTTCTTTTTTCTACTTTTATTATAGTGTTGCTATATTGTGAAGTACCTGGATACTGCTAAGAAAGCATCCATCCATCCATGAGTAAATCTCTGAGACAAAAGGCAAAATGCATTTTTTCAAGGAATGCTAGGGCTTTGGTAATTAATGACTACTCTCAATAAAAAAGGTAGCTGATTTTTTTTTTGAATTAAAAGGCATTTACTACTCATTAATTCCAAAAGCAGAGTTGCTTCTAATCACACCCTCATTAAACTCACATGTATCACAGCCAGGGAGGCAGATTTCTTAACACAAAATGTAATTAAAACTTAAAAATAAATTCTAATTATTGAAACCCCTGATACCAGCTACCTGTTTTTTTACTTTCATATTCAGCGTACCATTGTTCAGCACGCTAATCGGAACACCTTTTAATTCAGAATTTAGAACTAAGATAATTTAAATCAAAACAGTATATTTTTTTCCTTTTTTGTTTACGTGCATCACTTTTATAGATCATCAATTTTTAACCTCTGTTTTAACAAGACAACAGTCAGCTTAGATGTTTGAGGTTAGAATAAATGAAGTGCAGCTGACATTCGCCTCCCTCTCCAAGAAATCTACTTCTGACTAATGTGCTTTTGGTACCAGTAATATCCTTTTTTTCTGTAGCCCTTTGTGTTTGACATTTTAATAAAGCACTGTATTGTTAGAGCACACTCCCACTCTTCCTCTGTCGCGCCTCTTTCCTTCCAGCTCATGCTTGCTTTTATGTTGTGCTCCGCAGAGATTGTCATCAGCCTACTGCCGAACGCACAATCAGCTCTCACAGACAGCAAGGAGCAAAAGGGAGGAAAGTTATACGAAGGTATGCAAAAAGACACTTTGAAAGGAGTTAAATGAAGGAGGGAGGAAAGCAAATTGAGTGCGGCTGATGAGAACAACAGCAGACTGGTGATACAGAACTAAACCCCAGGTTGAAGGAGGAAAGAATCATCGAGCCTTATCTTGAGAAAACTTGTAAAATGTGAACAACACATTTTTTTTTGCTCATGAACAATAATCCTTTTTTTGCTTAATTTAAACAATACATTTATTTGGTTATGAATAACATCTTCTTTACACAAATAAATATTTAAACTACAAATAGCTCATAAATCATAAAAGTAGCTCAGGAGTAGGATGGGATGGTGTGCAAACACAAAATGCACACATACACAATAAAAATGCCTTTCGGATATCCAACATTCATGCACAAGAAGTGTTACGTTTGGGCCCACAGAACATGCAACACTGAACAAGTCATACAAACTGCTGCTTATATCACAAAAAAAATCTATTCCAAGATGACCAAGAATCTCCACAGACATGAAAAGGCCTGGTACATTAACTGTACAGGTGCATTATGGTCTACGTTTCTCATTGTCTTGAACAAGGTCAAGTGCAAAACTTGTGAAACAATAATAAAAAAATAAAAAAAGAGTACAAGGACAAATTTGAAAGCTAAGGCAGTGAAAAGCAGGACTAAATGAGGTGATCATGATGAATTAAATGGCGAGAAACGAATGAAAGCAAGAACGAACAAATAATGAAAGCAGTCCAAACGTGAAAAAATCAGAGGTGATGAATAAATGTGCAAACTGCCCGAGAAAACCATTATTATTCAGAATAGTAATACTTTTTTGTCTTTTCTGAGAGAAAAAGAAGCTTTGGAAATGACTCAAATTACACTTCCAGGTGTCAAGAAGTTGCAGCATTAAACGATCATTATTTAATCCGAAGTAAGTTTGCAGAAAGCTTTGAATTCCTCTCAATTCATTTCCATATTGTGCTGTCATTTATTTAAACAACAGAAGTTTGTTTCTTTTATGTATACTGTGCTGGAACTAATACTTTTTGGTTTGAGACAGTAATTTGTGACATACAGTACTTTAATGACCTAGGTTTTCATGACATGCTGTTCATCTGCAGATAGAATGATTAAAGTTAGAATAAGATTTGCTAACAACAATAATCATTCTTAGATATCACTTGTGTTTATCTTTGTGTTTTCCCTTGACCTTGTATGAAATCTTGCTAAGATGACATAATGGTGTTTGTTAAACTATATACATAGATATATACCACAGTGAGTAGTGTGGAGTGGACCGTGTTCAACAGTGGACAGAGTGGAGTGACAGTGAGAGGCAGAGGCATACAGAAAGGGTAGGTTGGTCTCTGTGTTTCCTGTTGTTGCAATAAAACTCATTCGCTGATCATCTCACAGAGTACCTTCGTTCTTGGACCATGTATTTCTGTCTTTGTTAAATAAATATTTCCATAACATATACTAATTAAATTGTATTGATAAGCTAAGCAAGCAGATGTCTTTACATAAATTGTAAAAACAAAACAAAACAAAAAAAAACTTTAAAATGAAATAAATTAATATCTCAATGTTTAGGCACAACCTTTGATTTTTCCCACGTTTCCTATATTTTTGAATAGTGTATTCCTTCTTTAAGAGTCATCTTCAGTTTTAATTAAATGGAAAAGTTTAACATTGAACAGCACCTGGTGGCCATTGTTCCAGCCGTAAAGAGTTCGGTCCCTGGCGTTGTAGTCCAACATGGACATGTGGAAGTACTGGTTGTGGAAGGGAATGTCTGTGTACTCGTACGTGGGTGTTTTGGTGGAGTAGGCGTAGTACATCTTGGCCCCAGTCAGGTGGAAGTTGGTGATGTAAAGAGTTCCACAGATCATGAACAACTCGCCGGCGTTCCTCTTGAAGTACTCCTTGTTCCACGTCTTGAGGATTTGGAGCGTGTCCG